AGAGAGAGAGAGAGAGAGAGAGGGGCATTTTACTGGAAAGAGGTCTCACTATTATATTTTTGATCAGATAGGCAAGTTCACCAAAATGCTCATTCACGTGAGCAAAAAACCCAATGTGGAGAAGCTTTGTCAATGAAGCACTCATGGATAGCTTCGGTGCTATGTTGTCAAATCCTTTGCTACATCGACATCAAAGGCTACGATGCATTCGTGGAAGGCTTCTTTACTACGTTTGCTAAGCATTTGTGGAAGCATAGGTTGTTGCATCGCTAAAGCATTTGTGGAAGGCATCGTTGCTACGTTGCCAATCCATTCGCGGAAGACTTCATGGCTACGTCACCGAAGCCTTGATTGCATCGTCAAATTCTTTCGCTATCTGTGAGTGTAACTGGGACGTCAAAAGCCTTTACTGTCACCGAAGCATCCGTTAGATGACGCCGATCGTCGAAGGTTGGATTCTTGGTGTGGGGATCATGCAACTCGTCTTTCTTGTGACATAGCTACAATGCTTAGTGTAATTGGGTTGCTGAAGCCTTCGCCGCATCGCCAAAGCATTCATTCGTTAGACGATGTTGATCGATTGTGGAAGCATGGATTCCCATTGTGATACCTACATTCACAGACGAAAGAGAATCAAATCACTACTATGAAAATGGACTCTTACATTTGCCTTAGGAAGATGTTCCTAGGCCATAAAACACCCGAAAATACTAAATAAAAAAAACCTCAACTATAAACCCAAACTATTTAACTGAGTATGGACTTAAACCCAAAGCAAACACTTAGGTTTTCTTGTGGTGCTACTTGTGGTGCCACTTATGGTGTATCTGACTTCAAAGCTCAGACATTTATTTATAGCTCTAACAACAAGTCTGATTTTCCCGATGTGGGACTATGGGACTTGCCAAACTAACAAATCTCCACCTTGGCATGTCCCAACAAAACTTGCTCCACTTTCTTCATAAAAGTCCCAATGGGCAATCACCAACAATGAACACCAACCAAGTCCAAGCACTGCTTAAACTTGTAAACCGAAAGAGGCTTCGTAAGCATATCAGCTGAATTGTCCTTCGTATGAATTTTCTGAACAAGGACTTTCCCCTCAGCAATGGTATCCTATTTGCATCCAATAAGTTTTTTACCCGAAGGCGGCTTCACAAGATCCCAAGTTCTATTCTGATAGAGGGATTCTATTTCTTCATTCATCGCAATCAACCACTTAGCGGAATTATCACAAGAAACTGCATCTGAGTAAGAAGTAGGCTCACCAACTTCACTTGTTTATTCTGCAACAGACAAAGCATATGCAACCAAATTTGCATATCTTTGTGGTGGTCGAATATCTCTCCATGGTCTATCCTTGGCTATGGAATATTGCTCTTCCTCTGGAGCAACTTCGTCAGTAGACTCAGGACCATCTACTAGTATTCTTTGAGTAGAAGAGTTCGATTGAAAAGAATCAGACCATGATGATGACGAGATTGCAACTGAGCCTGTGACAGTAGTTCCCTGCAAAATATATAAGCTACCAGACCTACAAGCTTTCATAACAACAGGAGCACTTCTAGAAACTTTCATAACTCCACCTTCAGCTGTGTATTTACACCCAAGGGCCTCTAGGGTGTCTAAAGAGATGAGATTCTTTTTTAAATCAGGAACATGTTTAACATTAGTGAGCGTCCTCACAATACCATCATGCATTTTAATTCGGACTGTGCCTCTACCAAAAACATCAGATGCAGTATTATTGCCCATCAAAACAATTCCACCATTACAAGATTCATATGTGGAAAACAAATCCCTATTGGGACACATGTGATAAGAACAATCCGAATCTAAAATCCATTCATTTTTAGACATCGTCCTGCCATCAGTAGCAGAGAAAATATTTCCAACATTCTCATCAGTTGCTACACTAGCTTCAACGGATTCAATAGTTTTCTCAACAATTTTTCCCTTTTGCTTTAATTTATTTTTTAATTTAAAGCAATCAGTCTTAATGTGCCCCATTTTATGACAATATCTGCATTCCAAATTTCTATGTCTGAATTTAGATCTAGATTTAGATCTACTACTATCAAATTCTCTTTTATCCATTCTACTCCTGACAACCAGACCCTCAGCCTGATTCTCTCTACTTTCCCCAATGATATTCTTGTCTATCTACTCCTTAGATTTCAGTGCAGATTTAATTTCTTGATACGAAACTATTTCTTTTCCATAAATCAAAGTATCACGGAAATGCTTAAAAGATTGAGGAAGAGAACACAAGAGTAATAGGGTCTTATCCTCGTCATCAATTTTTGTATCTATATTCTCCAAATCCATAATCAAGAAATCAAATTTATCAAGATGTGAGAGTATAGATGTACCTTTAGTCATTTGAAGCATATACAAACCCTGCTTCAAGTAGAGACGATTCTCCACTGTCCTCTTCATGTACAAGGCTTGCTTGTCCCACATGCTCTTAGCCGTAGGCTCCCT